CCAGCAAGCCACCAGGCCAGGGCTGGGGGGTTGGGGCGGGAGGCTGGGGGAGACTGACCCAAACCCACCAAGGTTTAAAATGTGCAAGAAGACTCAATAGCTCCTGCTCAAGAACTCTTGGGCCTGGTGGGGTAGAACAAACTATGACCAGGAGACACTTCCAGGGAAAGAAGGGAGTGGGACTCAGGACACTGGCATCTCCTACATGGGAGGACAGGGGCATCTCTTGGAAGAAAGTGTCCAGTTGTGACCGTTCTGGAAATCAGCAGCCCCAACAAACTGCTTCACGACTTCCCACGGGACGAGGTGCCCCTGGAAAAATGGCTGAGTTGGGACTTTCCCCAAGAACATGAAAAGTGAGAGAGGAAGAAAGGGACAACTTTCATTTTTAACAAGTATTTCCTGACAAATCCTAACACTGCCGTCAGTTTCTTTGCCTCTTTCCCAAGCTTAATCAGGGTCTTTTTTTTTTTTTTTTCGTTTGTACAAACTCAGTTCTTTTGAAAAGAAGTGTAATACGGGGCTTTTTTTTTTTTTCAAGAGACAAAATATTTTTCCCCTTTAACATTTCTGTTTTCCCTGGGCTATATGCACAAGAGACGAACTTGAAATTTAATATCTTCATCTCTTAAAACTTTACCATCCAAAAACAACAACAACAATAAAAACCACCACCACCAAGACGGAAGGTATACAAGGGGAAAAAGGGAAACAACATGAAACAAATGCACATTCCTTCCAGAGCCCGCAACAAAGGTGATATAATAGACATCACAGACAGAGTCTCCTCCGTCAAGAAATTAGATTTTAATTAGACACTAAGACACAATTAAATGGACTTTGCAAGTTGGTGTGCGTGGCTGGGAGGTGTCTCAGGGATGGCGGGGCCAAGTGGACCTGTAGTGAAAAGCTCCTCAGGGGCAGGGACTAAGTGACCCACTTCCTCAGGACCCATGCCTGACAAACTACTCACCCAGCAGATGCAATGACACGCACCCCACTCTGCACTGCGGTGTCCCAGCTGGTGGAGAAGAGCAGACAAAACCAGGGAGCCAAATCCTAACTGGACAGGGTGCTGGACAAGCCTGCAGGAGACAGGATAAGGGATGCCTTTCAGGCCAGGTCCTACCTGAGCTGAGTTCTGAAGGATGAAGTGAGAGAAAAGCTTTCCAGCAGAGGAGACTGGAGAGAGCTCCAAGGACCAAGAGCTCAACGAAGCACCTAAAAGGAGGTGGGGGCAGGACAAGAGTGGCTGCCAGAGCCCAGTGACACCAGGCTAAGGATCGGTAGATCTGATGGTAAAGATAGTGGGAGCCGTTGAAGGATTTTAAATTGTGCAGAGAGCAGGGCAGTAACCGTGAACAGATTAACATTTTAGAAAGAAAGGCAGGGGCAAACCTCAGGATTTAACCAAAAAATAAAGACAAGAACTACAATGAAGATGTGCAAAAAGGTCAGGGAAAACACTTAACAGATCTGCATTCTCTTCTTCTGGACAAATGTCCTTTACAGAGTTTCCATGTTATCCTTTGAAAATGGAGAACTCAGGTGGGTGAGAGCAGTCAGTCCTCCCAATGTGAACATGAGTATTTGAAGAATTAAAGATTGCATTATTAATTTTAATTTGAGACACTTTTAAAATGTATGCTTGATACACATTATATATTGTAGTTTTGTAAGTACAAAAGAAAATTTACAATAACTAAATCTAAATCTAGTAAGATTTTTTTAAATCTTTAAAAATTTTTAAGATTTCACAGACACAATGGACATCTGTTACATTCACTTTGGAACTGGACAGGGTGCTGGACAGCCACTTCTCCCCTCAGCATATCTGAAATATAATCTGTAAGCCTAATTTCTTGATGGTCATGGTGTTTCACAGCAAAAGACTGGGGTCACAATACTAAAAAGTTTCGGAGCTGACAGAGAATCCCCACAGGGGGTTCTTTACCTCGGCAGCCAGTCTATTCAATACTAACAATTCCAACCACCAGGAGGAATTTCCCTGCCTAGGCTTATACACACACAAAAATATCCTGACATTTTACATCTGGTAGGAAAGGATGATCAGAAGTGTCTTTAATACCAAGCAAATTCAACAGAGCCTTCTTAGTTGCCTGTGGATTGGGACAAATGACCACAAAGTAACTCATATTTACTCTTAAAAAGTAACCTATATTTTAATCTTAGCAAAAGCCCCAGGAACATTTTCACTAAACTCCCTTACAACAACAGCAAAACAATAGATTCTACGTTCTCTTTATTCCTAAAAATACCTCATTGTGATAAGAAAACCAGCCTGTAGTTGCCATTTATTACAATCTCATTTACCACCATTTACTATCACCATCATGTCACAGAAGATGCTTTAATTTTAGTATCAAGAAAATTACATTTTTTAGAAAGGGAAGTCCTAGTTGAATAAATTTAGTTTTATGAAAAACTCCTTATATTGTCCTCGTTTTTCTTAATACACTGAAGTCCACTCAACAGTTCATTTCAGGGGCCTGACCAAGAGTCTCCGAGATTGGTTCTCACCAGCCTTACAACACCACCTGGTCTTTGATGAAGGACCACAATGTCATGGAACTGGTGAGAAGGCCCAGTTCTACCCCTGGCTGAAGAGGACTAAGTAGGCAAAGATCCATTAAACATTAAAATTGGCAACTCAAGCTCCTTTCCATCTCCACCCCCAAACCCCACACTTTACAGATGGGGAAATGAAGCCCAGAAAGGAAAACCGACTTGCCCAAAGCCATAAAGCCAAGAGAATTTAACTCACCTACTGACACCCTGCCACTGATCCTCTACTGAGGTGGAGAGTTTGCGTAATGACTATGGACAAGTTAGCCACGTGATTTAAATATGTATATGGTTATACACCAAGTCTTGATGTATTATGAAAACCCATCCCTAATAATAATTTTGAACCAAAGCAATACTATCATCTGAGTCATCTAAAATATAAGATGGGGCTTCCCTGGTGGCGCAGTGGTTGAGAGTCCGCCTGCCGATGCAGGGGACACGGGTTCGTGCCCCGGTCCGGGAGGATCCCACATGCCGTGGAGCGGCTGGGCCCGTGAGCCATGGCCGCTGAGCCTGTGCGTCCGGAGCCTGTGCTCCGCAACGGGAGAGGCCACAACAGTGAGAGGCCCGCGTACCGCAAAAAAAATAAATAAAATAAAATAAATAAAATAAAATATAAGATGTACTTTATGGAGTCAGTTATAAAGAGAACCTCTGCTTCAGAGAAATCCCGTCTCAAGAGGACACACTGCAGATACACGACCCCAAAAGTTCAAGTTTAAAACAGAAATTTTGATACAAACCTCACCTTAACCAATACTGCTATAATCACTTCCCATTCACTATGTTGCTGAACTGCACACTTAGATATTTGGACTGTTGCCAAGGTGCAGAGTGATTAAAGCTTTTCTATGGCACAGTATTCACTTTCTTTTCTTTTTTAAAAAAATTTATTTATTTTATTGATTTATTTTTGGCTGTGTTGGGTCTTTGTTGCTGCGCGTGGGCTTTCTCTAGTTGTGGTGCGCGGGCTTCTCACTGCAGTGGCTTCTCTTGTTGCAGAGCACAGGATCTAGGTGCACTGGCTTCAGTAGTTGTGGCTCGCGAGCTCTAGAGCACAGACTCAGTAGTTGTGGCACACGGGCTTAGTTGCTCTGCGGCACGTGGGATCTTCCCGGACCAGAGCTCGAACCCATATCCCCTGCATTGGCAGGCAGATTCTTAACCACTGCGCCACCACGGAACCCCTCACTTTCTTACTGAAAATGAATGTCAAGAAAATCCCTACATACGTAGAGTATGCACAGGCAACTAAAAAGCATTCTCCAGCTATCTCAAGATGCTTGGAGTACACTCATTCAACGGAGAAAAGGAGACATGTTTCAAAAGAAAAAAATTACTGGATCAGCTATCTCTTTATAGAAAAAAATCTTACCTAGGTCAATACCTTACTTCTCCTTACCCTTCTGCATCGATGTGTCTACTTGATAACCTACCCATATTACAGTGATGTCTGCTGGTATCTACCAAGCCCCAGGCTCTGATTTCATCTCAAGATGCAGCCCCCGGGGTGAAAGCAAACATTTTTTAGTCTCTTGCATCTGTTGCAAACTTACAAAACATTATCAATGGCTGAAGATGATTTTTTTTTTTTTAATACAACACAGACATTTCCCCCTGTGGTCAATACAGGACGGCGAATTTATGGGAATTTTCCCTGGGTCCTCCCGTGCTTGCCCGCGAATTACCAAGGGCATTAACAAATCAAGATTCTTTGCGCTTGAATGATCACAGGAGTTACTTGGTTTTGTAAACGGGCCGAAACTGAGTGGAAACTGTTTCTTTTCCAGTCATCTCCAGGGGAGCTGCCCAGAAACGAACTCTGATGTCTTAAACGTAACCACTGAAGCCATACAATGACCACACTGCGGGAAAGGCAGAATTTCCTCGGCAGAACACAAGATTATTCACATCCAACCTGATGCAATTAACCAGGTCTGGAGAAAAAAGGACACTCCTCCTGCTCCGGGCTGACCCCGCCGGCGGAGCTGGGCGCGGGTGGGGGCGCGGCCCGGCGGAAGCAGAGCCCGCAGGAGGCCCGGGTCGGCCGCCCGCCGCATCCTCGGGCCCGGGGATGGAGGCCGGGGACTAAAGGACTGGGGGTCAGGGGCTATGGGGCGGTGGCCCCAGCCTCTCCTGGCGCGCGAGGAGAGGAGACCGGTGGGCGCGGCCACAGAACCAGCCAGGCCCCAAGCAGCCGGGACGCCCGCCGGCCGGGGTCGCGGCTTCGGCTGCCCGGGGGCCCGCGAGGGGATGGCGCAGGCGCGCGCCAGGCGGGGGACCCGGGAGGGGACGGCGCAGGCGCGGGCCGCCGGGGTCTGCGGGGCCGCCGGGGCCTGGCCGCGCGGGCGGCGCTGAGGAGAGGGACGCTCCCACCGCGCACACTCAGGGCACCCGGCCCCGGCTCTTACCGCGCGGCGCCGCCTCGCTTGCTCGCTGGCTCCGGGATGGGGCCGGGCGGCGAGCTCGCCCGGTGGCGCGGCCCGAATCCGTTGAGTCCGGCCTCGGGGCAGCAGCCAACCCCGCGGCGCCGTTCGTCCGGCCCGCCCAGCCTTCCTCGCGGCCCACGCCCCCAACCCGCCCCTTGTCCGTCCCACACGGCCGCCGAAGACTGCGCAGGCACGGCGCAGGCCCCGCCCACACCGCCCCCGCGCAGGCGTCTGCGGCACAGCCCACTCGGCTCGCCTCCCTCCCGGCTCTGGATCGCGCAGGCGCCGTACCACGCGGCTGGCCAGAGAAATGCCTCAGGCAGGCAGTGCGCATGCGTGAGGCTTCCTGCTCGCACTCTGCCTGGCGGATGCTCCTGGAGGATGCACTGGGCTCTGCCGAGTGATGTGTTAACGCTCCATCATCCCCAAGGCTCGGCTTAGCCCAGAGGTCCACCATTCATGCTAGGCTTAGCCAAGAGGTCCAACATTCAGGGACGTGTCTATAGCGTGCCAAGGACGGCGCTGGGCTTGAGCTAGACAGTGGTGGGAAAACGTAGAAGCCCTGCCCTCCCGGTGCTCCCCGGAGATTTGGGGGGAGATGGGATGCAGGTTTTAAAAAAAAGCACAACTTCTATAAAAATTATTAATTAATTTTTGTCTGCATTTGGTCTTCGTTGCCTCGCGCGGGCTTTCTCTAGTTGTGGCGAGTGGGGGCTACTCTTCATTGCAGTGCGTGGGCTTCTCATTGTGGTGGCTTCTCTTGTGGAGAACGGGCTCTAGGTGCGCAAGCTTTAGTAGTTGTGGCACGTGGGCTCAGCAGTTGTGGCTCGCGGGCTCTAGAGCACAGGCTCAGTAGTTGTAGCGCACAGGCTTAGGTGCTCCGTGGCACGTGGGTTCTTCCTGGACCAGGGCTGGAACCCATGTCCCCTGCAGTGGCAGGCGGATACTTAACCACTGTGCCACGAGCGAAGCCCCAACATTTCTTTATTGGTCCTAAGTCTAGACAGAATTCCTTTTTCTTCCTGTGTCAGTTTTACTGAGTTATATTTTTGCAGGAAAATGTCTTTTGTTAATGTTTTCCAAATCATTGGCATAACGTTGTTCATGTAATTCCCTGATGGTTTTTGTTATAATCATTGTTTCTTTTTGTTTCTCAATAAATTTCTAATACATTTACATATTTCAAAATTCAGAAAGCACCTTCTCAACCCCGTCTCCATTGCTGTAGTTCCTCTTCCCAGCTGCAGGTAAATGTATTCAGTTTCTTGATAAAAATAGTTTTTGAATATAAACAAATAACCAAAATAAGCAGATTGGTTCTTTAGCTTCCTTTTTTTTTTTTTTTTTTTTTTTTACACAAATGGTAGTCTACTATACATAATGATCTGTACCTTTCTTTTTAAAACCGGAATAGCCATGATGGTTTAATAGTCTGGAGATAATCAATCATTCGACATTTGTGTAGGACTTAGGTCATGGTCCTCATCACCAGACAGCCTGGGTTTGAATTCTGGCTTCATCACTTACTAACCATTTGTCTTTGCATTTCAGTTTCTTCATCTACAAAATGGGAGCTGTTATGGGTTGGGGGGATTAAGTGGGATAATGCATGAAGGGAGCTTAGCATGATGCCCAGCGCCCAGTAAACACCTGGTGACTGTGAAGGGCATTCATGTTGCATCTGTTTCAGCATTTACAGTTCAAACGGGACTCAACATCATTTAGATCTTCACGCCAGCCCTGTAAGAACTGCATGGAGGACAAGAGATATTTTTTTTTATATTAAAGTACACAAAATAAATATACAACTCAATGAAATACAAAAAAGTGAAGGTCAAGAAAAAGAACTTGAGCAGTTGCCAAGTCCCTCCTCTCCCCTGCCAACACTACATCCTCCCCAAATGTAACCACATTCTGACATCTAACTCAGGATGAATATGGGCTGATTTTGAACTTTAAATAAATGGAATTGTATTGTATTGATTTCCTAGGGCTGCTGTAACAAATTACCACAACCTTGGTGGCTTAAACCAAAAGAAATGTATCATCTCACAGTTCTAGAGGCTGGAAGTCCAACATCTAGGTGTCAGCATCTCTGAGTCTCCTCAGAAGGCCCTGGGGGTGGATCCATCCCTTGCCCCTTCTACCTTCTGCTAGCTGCCTGCATTTCTTGATGTTCTTTTGCTTGTGGCTGCATCATTCTGATCTCTGCCTTGGTCTATGGCCTTCTCTGTGTTTGTGTGAAATCTCCTTCTGATTCTTATATAAGGACACTCATGATGGCGTTTAGGGCCCACCTGGATAATCCAGAATAGCCCCCCCATCTCATGATCCTTAATTTATCACATCTTCAAAGACCCTCTTTCCAAATAAGGTAACATTTATAGGTCCCAGGGAAAGACTGGATATCTTTAGGGGGCATTATTCAGCCTACAGCAAGTATCTTTTTGTGTCTACCCTCTTTCACGCAACATGAATTCTGTGAGATTCATCCATCTTGTTGCATGCATCTGTGGCATGCAAAATGAATTTCATTTTGGTTGCTGTGTAATATTGAACTGTATGAATTTACCATTCCATGGTTTATCCATTCTATTGATGGACATTTGGGTTGTCTCCAGTTGTGAGCTATTTGTGGAATGAAAACTGGATTAAGCAAAAAAAGATTCCTGGAGTCTCCAATGGGAAGCTATATGCATCCTTGGTACACACCCTTCTAGGTTACCTGATTCTGATTCTGCGGGGGCTTTGGGCCTTATATTGTCTTTGAGCTCTTTTGCAATATTGTAGAAAATTGACAGCAATGCGAATAATTCTTGTCCAAGGACAACCCACCCCCACAGTGGAAGAACCAGTCTTGCCTCCAAGTTCATTTCAATATTTCTGTTCTATATACGTGTCTGACCTTGGAGTTCTCCTTTGAACTGATGGTAACACCTTACTGGTTCCCTCACTTAATGAATGAGTTAAGTAAACTCTTTGATATATGTTTATTTTATATTTGTATAAGAGTCATGACTTTACCTTTTTAAAACATTACCCTTTAACATTAGGAATAAAGTTCCTATGAACGTCTTTATACACAGCAAAATACTTTTAATGAACGAAAACTACTAACCTAGATTTTCTGCCATTGAAATTCCAAAGCAAAAGCGCCATTTTCCACCAAGCGGGAGGCTACTGACATTTCCTGAGTAGGAACCAGGTCTGCTGACCCGCACCTGTGCAGGGTTGGGTGGGTGGGTGGG